TGGACTGCCTAGGGAGACAGCAAAGCCCTTGTCAATGGAGATGTTGGGTCTCAGGCTGAAGGACAATCTGCCAGGGTGTTTTAGAGGAGAAGGTAGGACTGGACACCCTCCTCTAAGAGGCAAAGATTCTGTGAGGGGCTATTAAAGAAGGCTTTCTCCACATAGAAAGACTAAAAGAGGACCCTGACCAGTTCTCCTAACAGATTCATGCAAGATGAGGAATTTGTTCTTGGCATACTATATGAGAGGACATAAAAGGACTGAGTTGGCATGGATTTGGTAATAATAATAGCATCTGACATTTATATAATTCTTCAAAGTTTGCCAAATGTACTTACTAGATTATCTCATTTGATCTTCACAATAGTCCTGTGAGGTAGTTGCTGTTATCTTCATTTTATCGATTAGGAAACAGATTTAGAGGAGCTAAGGGACCTACCCAGGGTCACACAACACCTGCAGTAGCTTTTGAACCCAAGTCTTCCTGCCTCCAATTCCAGTGCCCTATCTACCATACCATGATGCCTAATACTCAGTAACACTTGGTCACAGCCTTGTAGCATCAGCAGAATCTTGAAAATGTGGGTTCTCTAAGAATAATGCTTGGATTAGAATAATGATAAACAAAAATGTTTCTGACAGGCTGTTGCCCGCAACCAGATTGTACACTGAACGGAGAGGCGTGAAATAACTTAAGACATGGGCCAGGTGGAGTAGAATTACTGACTCAGTTTATTCATCTGAGGGCACAGAATATATAGGGAAGATCTAGCCTAACTTCAAAGAGTCCTCCCCATGAGATACTCCCCAGAACATCTGCTGAGGATGTAACAATCATGAATTTCCTCCTTATCAGGGTTCCTAGATTGGGCTGTAGATTCCAAGGTTTTCCCAGGCGCCTAGGTGCCACCTGCATAGAGGAGTAAATATGTAAACCTAAGGTTCAAAGAGAGAGAAGGGATGTCTCAGTGACCTCTTTATCAGGAAGGAATTTGGGGAGCCGTACCACTTAATCCTTGAGCCCTTTGGGGTGAAAGCCTGAGCAGAGGTCAAACTCTGCCTTGGATCTTAAACCCTTATCAGACTCTTAAGATCGGCCCTCAACAACAGGCTTTTACCTAAAATGAAGAGTTTAGTATTAATATTTTCTTTAATAATCTAATACAAAAATTTCATGGGGATAATTGTTAAGACCTAGCCCTGGGTTAAAAAAATCAATTATACAGGTACAGGATAGGTAAGACTTGCTAGGCAACAGTTGGTGTGAAAAAAGTCCTGTGGGGTCTGCTCATTGGAGGGATGGTGAATGTCAGGTTAGACACCACAATAAACAAGCTGGATTTAAGGCAGTGTGGTGCTGCAGGCCTTGGTCTTAAGAACTAAAAGACCTAGATTTGAGTCCCCAGCCCCACCCCACTTAGACAATTACTAGGCAGATGACCTAGGGCAAGAGACTTCATCCTGAAGAACCTCAGTCTCCTCACCTGTAAAATGAGCATGATAATATGCTACTTCTTGGGACTGTGAGAAAAACATTTTGTAAAACCTCATGCGGCTTAGATTCTTATAATCTAGCCACTGCTCAGATTCCTAAAATCTAGCCACTGCTTGGATTCTTATAATCTAGCAACTGCTTATTCATGTTCAGACTCCTTAAGAGTCTGGCCAACAGGACGGATGTTCTAATAAACCTTGTTTTTGGCTGAAAGGCAGCTTGGGTTGAATTCTTTTGAACAGGACCCGTGTGTTGTGATTTTGGGGTCCCAGCACCCCTGAGCCCCTAAACCGCATCATTTTGGTGGCCCATACGGAGAAACTGCCTAACCCCAAGTTCTTCTCCAGCCAAGACTGGAAGGTATGTAAGCCCTCCCCCTCCTCTCCTTTCTTGCTCTGCAGTTAGGGTTGTGCTCCAAGCACCAAGGCTTGGAGTGCTTTTCTGGCAGACAGTTACGAGGCTGTCTTACACTCGGCCTATTGCTCTCAGGCTCTCAGTCCACTGAGTCAGTTGAAGGCTAAACCTTCCACAGCATAGAGGACAAGGATAGACGCCCTGTCTGCAAGTGTATGTTCAATTCTGTTAATTCTCTCAGTGCTAGGGAAGTGGGAAAAACTGCAGCTGCTTTTTGGTTCCCTGAGGCTTTCTTACTCCCTTCCCTCTGCACCTCTGAATCTTCCTTCATGGAGGCTACAGGGAAAGTTAGAACAGCTAAAAATATCTTGGCATATTCTAGAGGTTTTGTGATTGATCATTAAGAAGTTTTGAAATACCTGTACAACCTGGTCACTCCCTTCCCTTGAGTCAAGAGGGTATCTGTTAACCCCTCTCATAGGAGAAAAGAGTTTCACCCTTTACCCCTCACCTTTGATTTCCCCCTTCCCCACCTGGGAAAGGAAGGAGGGGGAGGGGCAGTACGGGCCCCACAGCCATGGCCTTGGACTCTGGGGCAACCTTTGCCTGGAAACATCACCCAGGTTCAGCACATTCTGCTCAATGTAAAGAAGCTGGCCTCTGAACTTGGGTAAGCATGCTCTTTTAAATTTGTGGTTTTAACTATTAAGGATGAGATGCTGATTCTCTGTGTAAAGTAATTTGGAAGTGCATTTAACAAAACTGAAGTCACCTGATTGGTAATAGGTTTGTTTCAAGTTTCAAACTGGTGAACTTTCTGTATCAGTTATGTCAAGCAACTTTTCATAATTTGGTTACCACTAAAATAATTTAGCTATTGTTGGTTATTGTTTTAATGTGTAAACTAGCCAAAAAGCTTGTTTGGGTTATGTGTGGCTTGCTGAGAGTTTGCAAGTATATAGAAATCTCTAATCATTGGCTTTTTTACGCCAGGACAAATTTAAGTTTGAGATATAAATCCTGGAAAAGTTTTTCCTAAGCTGTAATTAGTAAAACTTGCTGTTTGAGGTAAAAGCTCATAGGATTTTATTTTGAGTTGTCTGATGGGTCATAATCCATCAATAATCAATAATCCACCATCTGAGAGAAATGCCACAAGCTACTCAGAGAAGGTGATACTGGTGAGAAGTCAGCATCGGGAAAAGCTGAGAGGCAGTCTAAGATGGGATCCTCCTGGCTCAGTTTCCCCATTTATGTTCCTTTGAAAGAGAATGTTACCCACCTGGCTATTCCTGAGTCTGACTATGAGGTGGATTTGATACTGCATGGTTGGAAAACTGAATTATCTGAATCCAAACAGAGCTAAGGATGTTTTATCCTCTCAAAGTTGGGCCCTAAATCTAGTCCCTGCATTATATCTGGGCCCTCCAGTTTTTTCTGGCAGATTTATGTCTTCTGGACTATGGGCCATTCACCTACAGTTGGTAGCAAACAGCGAGTACCAGCCAATGTCCCCACATCGTTCCCTGGATGCAGCCTGTGCTCCATTCCAGTCAACCTCCTCTTTGGGATCCCCTCGAAGTAGGGACAGCTCTCCGCCCTTTGCCAGCAGGAAGCAGTTTCAGAAGCCGAGACCTTCGCCCCTGACTCCAAAGAATTTGGGTCCCATTTGTTTGAGGGGGGAATGATGGGGTTGGGACATGGGCCCCAGAAAGGAAAAACCCTGGACTTTCCCACATGGCCAAATCTCTGGCGTTTGCCTGAGGCTATAATCCCATCAACTGGCCTAGACTGCCACTGAGGTCCCTCCCAGTTCTCAGATCTTGTGGGTTTGTGACCAGAAAGAGAAATACCTCCCCATTTGTATCCCAAAAGCTGCACAAAGATCTCCATCCTGGGTCCTCCTCCTTAGCTCCCTGGCTTCCCAACCATCATCAGGAACCAACACAGCTACTGCTTAGACTCAGGCACCCCACACCCCACCCTGAGCTCAGAGTTGTTTTCCAGATCTTTGATCATGTCCAAAATATAGCTCTGTCTTTCTTCACCACTGGATTTTTTCTCTCAGATTTGTTTCCCCAATGAGCTCCCAGTAGAGGGAATGAAAAGAGAGAGGATGGGACTGAACATTGGCCCAGACTCTCACGACTGCGAAGAACATTAGAAGGATCATGATGGTAGAGATCTAGACCAGGAAGGGATTTCAGAGGCCACCAAGTCCAGTCCCCTCATTTTACAGATGAGGAAACTTAAGCACAGGGAAGTTAAGAGATTTGTCCAAGGATACATAGGTAGTTGAGTGTCAGAGATGAGAGGTCCTCTGAATCCTTGAGTTAGTGCTTTTTCCACAACCTAGCCTCCCATTAATTGCAGGAATCTCCTTTATGGGAAAACTCTGGGGAGGATCATTCAATCTTTGAACACTTTTGAACTTTTGAACATCCCAACTATGGGGAGTTGACTTTTTCTAAGACGGCCAGTTCTGGAGATGTTTTTCCTTACATTGAACATAAATCTACCTCACTACAATTTCCCCCACTGTTCCTAATTCTGGTACTGTAGGACAACCCTTCAAATACTTAAAGACAGCCATCATTATCTTCCTGTCCTCCTAAACCTTCCCTTCTATAAGTTAACCATACTCTTTCTAATCACTGGTATCAAGGCAGTGCTGTGGAGAGAGTACTAAACTTGCAGTTAAGAAGACCTGGGTTCAAATCTTGCCTCAAATATTCACTAGTTGTGTAACTCTGAGCAAAGTCACTCATCCTCACTGTGCCCCAGTTTCCTCAACTGTAAAATGAGAGGTTTGGACTTAATGGTTTCTAAGGCTCCTTCAAGTTCCAAATCAATCATCTATAATCTAGAGCCCAGTTCCTTCATCCCATCCTCAGAGCACAGTTTCATCAATTTTTCCTCCTCTTGTATCAATGCTTTTTCCTACAATGTAGTGCCAGAACTGAATATAATATACTCCAGGTAGGGCCTGGCCAGGGCAGAAGACAGTGTGATGACCATAATTATATACCCCATTTTATTATATTTTTTTTTTGGAGGGAGGCAATTGGGGTTAAGTGACTTGCCCAGGGTCACACAGCTAGTAAGTGTCAAGTGTTTGGTCTGAGGCTGAATTTGAGCTCAGGTCCTCCTGACTTCAGGGCTGGTGCTCTATCCACTGTGCCACATAGCTGCCCCTATGTCCCCCATTTTAGAGAAAAAGTCAAGCAGCTTTGGGGTAAGAAACATTCCCTAACAACACCCTCTTTTGCCTCTATTATCTTTCCTTTTTTTTCCCTTCTGTGTCAGTGTGCAGAAGGGATCTCCCACAAGGAAGAGGAACTGGTTTGGGAATTGGAAGACCTGGTTTCCAATCCTGGCTCTGCCTCTCAACATTGGACGTCCAAGATCTCTTCCGAAGCCAAGGCCATTTCTTTTCCTTCCTCTTCAACTTCTGTCTGCTACAAAACCAGGCATGAAAACTTCATAAAGGCACTGGAGAATTTCCAACTAAGAGTAAACTAGAGGCCAGGCCCTTTTTTTATACCCTGGCTCTGATAATTGAAGAAAGACACATGACAACAGTTATGAATCCTTGTGCTGGCCAACACCCAATACTTGTTTGGTTCAACAGCACAAGTCTCCTTGGCCTTTTCAGACCTCCTGCTTGTGGAAGCCCATGCAGAGGGCCTTGGCGCCCGCCTTCAGCAATGCTGCTGCTATCTTGATCTCTTCTCCTTAGCTTCAGAGGAGAACACCAGGACTCTTATACATAGGCATGAGTTCCTTAAGTCGGTACCTGGGAGCAGAGATGCTGTCCACCACTCTCAGAGGGGGAAGAATCTTTTTTGGAACAGGATCTTCTTTCGAATTAAAGATAGGGTATGAGACCTTTGGTTCCTTCCCTAAACTCTTCAGGTCCAGAACCCTAGAGAGAGGTGAATAGAGGCACTTTTTTTGGGTCCGGAATGCAGTGAACATCTCATAGGGAGGAAATTTTGTCAAGAGTTTCAGTAGATCCTTCCGGAAAATGTTCCATGAATTTTCCCTCAAGATCTTCTGGCATATAGTATCGTCACTGAAAGGGAGACACAAAACCTTTGTAAGGACAGCTGGCAGACACTCTGGGTTGTGTGGCATGCAGGGGAGCTACTTGGTAGGACACAAACTCAGAACTCTAGGGACCCACCTTCACTCATCTCCTTCTCCTCATGGGGCAAGAGGATGCTGGAAGCTAGAAGTCTGGCCAAAAAGCTAACAGGGTTCAGGGGTGGGGAGGGGAGTAGAGTCCCACCTAGAGCTGAAGAGAAATTTGGACTAGCAGCTGAAAGGTGGAAAAGAGGATGCCCCATTTGGAAGCAACAGCAAACAAGTATCAGGATTTACCTAGGGAGCCCTTCCCCTGACACCAGCACTTTCCCAAGAGATTAATGTATATAATTGTAGAGAATACAGAATAGGAAAAGCTTAATTATGAGATCAACTTGGAAAAGAACAGAGATCTGCAGGTCATAGAGGACCACAAGCAGATGCACATGGCAATAGAGAGGGAGAGAATAAGCATTTATGAAGTGCATACTACGTGCCAGACACTATGCTAAGTGCTTTACAAATATTATCTCATTTGAGGCATTTTAAAAGGTGATCATAGTCCTGGGATGCCCTGTTTACCTGAAGCAAATGAGTCACCCAACAAGAGAGCATTTTGTTTGAGAGATAGGTACCTTAGAGATGGCAGAAGGAACTTTCCTGGTCACCATATTCTTGGAAATGGAACTGACCCCACTTTGTGATCTATCCTAGAGTCCTTGGACAGTCCTTGAACCCTGATGATCCAGCCAGTAGCAAGGGATGTGTGTTGGGCTCATAAAAAAGGGTGGGGGAGGACAGGAAAGGGAGGCAACAGGACAGAGTCTTCCTGTGCAGCTCTTTGAACTTACAGGAATAATAGGTCTGGAGTTCATGAGGAATTTGGGACCTGAGACCACTAAGCATTCCCATTGGCAGGTTAGTGTGAAGTGTGCTCAACCTGGAGTCTGACCCAACCGTGGTTGGATTGGCCATTTACTACCGGTGTGACCTTGAGTGAGTGACTTTACCCCTCTGGTCCTCATTTTCCTCAACAATAAAAAGAAGAAGTGGAACCAAATTATCTCTGAGGTCCCTTCTGACTCTAATCTATGGTCCTAAGGGAGTTTTAGCTCCATTCTAAAATTCTTTGTGGCTAGCTTGCTCCTTACCAAGTCCCAGCATTTACCCATAAGAAGATCAAAAGAAGATACAACACATATGCTTTATTTGAGGCAGCCAGGACTGAGGCATATTAAAAACTTCTTCTTTAGTAAAACTGACATATTAAGAGATAATATTTTTCTCAAAAGCCCTTTCTATATTTCCAGAAAAAGCCCTTGGAAAAGTGGGTGATAGATCAAAGCCAAAAAGGGAAATGGATTTCATGGTATCTAATTCTTTTTTTTTTTCAACAAAGAGTTAACTGTGGTCTTGTGAACATCACTCATTCCCCAAACACCTGAAGTGACTGATGCCATGACCATCTTTCTCTAATGAGAAAGAATATCAATATCTATTGCAGGGAGGAAGTCCCTTTGTTTTACTCCAGGAGTGAGGGAATGGGTGGTCCAAGAGGGATGGGACCATGGCTTGGTTATTCAACAAACTGTATTTTTTTACATATTGTGATTTTTTTCATATTCACAATTCCTACAAATATTATCTCAAATTTTCTTGGGGTAGAAAGCCATGTCAGAGGGCATAGGGGACTATGCCAGTTAAAATATCTCCTCTCTCTCTCTCTCTCTCTCTCTCTCTCTCTCTCTCTCTCTCTCTCTCTCTCTCTCTCTCTCTCTTTCTCTCTCTCTGTTATAAATGCTTGAATATTAGGTTCATACTAAATAAATTATTTCTGGCAAACTTTTGCCTAAAAATTCAGAGTAGAGTGTTAGTACTAATATTTTTTCTTCAACCGTTTTAATGGTGCCTCACATTCTGTTGCCTAATAGCTCAACATGGATCCAGGACTGCTTCTTCCTAAAAGACTATTTTTATAGCTAACTAAACAGAGGTGAGGGAGCTTTTAGACTCTTAGGGAAAGTTTTTTGAAGTTGTGCTGCCCCAGTCTTGCTGACTTCTGGTTAAGCTAACAGAATCTGACCATTTAAGAGAAAGGCCAACTCTGTTAAGACACCACAAGAGGTATTTGTTCATTTCTGTTCATGCCTGTGTTGGTGGTCACCTGTTGTTGTATGTGGTAAGCTTTATATTATGTCAGTATAGACCCACATCTTATGCAGTTTTAAGTTACCTACTGCTCTGGGACCTAAGCCAATTTCAGTTGTACCTGAACCCTGGCCATTCAACAAGGGAAAGGACCCCAGGTCTCAGAAGAGGGGAAAAATTGTGCCTAAACATACAAGTTTGGCTCATGAGTAAACTTTCCTGACTCTTTTTTCTGAGTGCTGGGCAGCAAATCTAGACAGCAGATCACCCAGGAGTATGGGCCCAGTTCACAAACAGCCACTTAATTACTCCTCACCATTCTAGGAATTCCATGAAGGCCACTGATCTCTGTCCAGGGACTCCCAATTGGCTAAAAGTAATAAATCTGCTATGTTCAGGTTTGTGGCTTGCTTTATTTTCAATCAAATTGTTTTGCATTTAAAATATAAAAGTATAAGGAGTGAGTGATCTTAACATCAGTAGATCCTCCACAGTGAAGTTATGTTTTACCATGACATCACAAGGGTTCCCCTCAAAGTGCTCGATCTCTTGTTCAAGAGATCCTCCTGTCATTTTGGAGTGCTTGGCCACAATGGGTCAGTGGATCTTCCTGTCTGAGAGGGGCTGGCCTCAAGATCATCAAGTTCCACACCACAGGAAATGTGGCCAGAGATGCCTCTGTGCCCCAAAGAAAAAGACGACGTTGGTGTTTTGTTGGTCAATGACCTTGGGGAACAGGTCTTCCACTAGGCAGGTAAGGTCGATACTAAATATCGCTGCACAAAACAATCCATCTCCTGACTATAGGCATTTTCTCTGACTGTCCCTCACACCTACAATGGTCTCCCTCATCAACTCTACCTCTTGGCTTCTCTGGCTTCCTTCAAGTCTCAGCTAAAACCCCACTTTCTACAAGAAGTCTTTCCTGATCCTCTTTAATGCTAATGCTTTCCATCTCTTGATTATCTCTGTTTTATTGCCTATATATCTTGTTTGTAAAATTCTCTTGCATGTTGTCTCCCCATTAGTATAGGAGCTCCTTGAGAGCAGGGACTGTCTTTTGCCTTGTTTGTTTGTTTTTTTTAAATCCCTAGCATTTAGCATAGTATCTGGCACATAGCAAATACTTGTTGTGATTTGATTTGACTCTCAACTTGGAAAAAGTTGGAAGAAACTCAGATAGTGAAGCAAAGAATATAAGAATACTTCTGCACCTAGAAAAGCTGATATTTTTATCTCATCCACTAAAAAAATAAAGTAAGCAAATTATTGACCAAAATGATTTGGCTAAAGTTTTTTAAAAACATCCTTGTTTAATCTAAATTGAGTCAATGGATTTTTGGTTGTGTGAATGGATGTTTCTAGGAATGGAAATGTTTGTTTTTTCTGTGAGTGTGTTGATATCCATTCAGTAAAAAAGAAAAAAGTGCTCAGTCTGTAAACAAAGCTGAAACCAGTTTAAAAGCTTTGTTTCCCCTGACTCCAATAGCAGAGAAAGAAAAAAAGTCTTCTCACAGTTTTGAAACTAAATCTTATCTGGTGCAGAAATTGCTCTCTTAAATTTTCTTTTGTTTAAACCATCTTAAGTAAGGGAAATTTTGCCTCAGAAAAGGTGAGTGAAATGATTTGGGGAAAAAAGGCAAAATTTCATTTTAGGAGCTGGTCAGGAGTTTGCCTGACCACTATGAGCTTCTCAAAGATTTGCCAGAATATAATTGCCTAGGCAAATTAGGAAGCAAAATAACTTAGAAGAAATTAGGATAGGCCGGACATTTGCAAGTCCTTAAATAAGAAACTAAATTGGAAGTATTTTACCAGGCAAAATGAGAAATTGTCTATAAACCTGGAAGTTTCAGCTCTGATCAAAAGATGAATTTACCATGAATTTGAGAGCCATGAGAAAATTGTGCTAATTTGTAAAAGATGCAATGGAGAAAAAAAAGGAAACTCAATCTCAAAACCATTTGGAAAATTATTTGAAAGTATCGAAGTCTGAGGTTAAGAAATTAATAGCTTTAGAAAGTAAAATACTGAGCCAATGCAAAGAGATGCAGTTCTAAAATTTGCAAAGATCAGTCTAGGTTAATCAGGGTCAGTAACTAAAATTAAAAAAGAAATTAGAGATAGTTTTTATACTGACACAGTGTTGGCTTGAGGCTTGATTAAAAGGCAGTGAGAAGTGTATAAAGGTGCTCTGAAAAGCAAAAAAAAAAATCTGACATTTCAACTGCATATAGTGGTATTAATTCATTTAGAAGTCAGATGAGTTAAGTCAGTTTCTGATTCCCTAAAGGCAGGAAATAGAACTAGGAAGTTTTCACTCCAATGGGAACCATGACAAAGTCCTCATTTTTGCCAGTATCAGAATCTCCAGCAAGGACCAAGTTAGGAAAGCAGCAGAGGAAAAAGAAAAGTTCAGGATTACAGAAATTGGCAGTGCAAGTTTTTCAAGATCCCTTTGAGATAAGAGAATAGTGAGACTGGCATGCCTGCAAAACTGTGAACTCCACTTGAAGAAATGCATCTTTCTTCCTTGGGGACTTGGAGTTAGTTTTTGCTAATGATTTCCAAGTTTAATTTCACAAGTTCTGGTATTCTTGTGGACGTAGAAAAGTAGCTAGAATCATGTAGCAACCTTTAAAATAGAACAATTTAAAATTTGGATTTATATTGGGTTTGATAAATTAATTGGGGACAATTATTATTCACAGCAGAATTGACTTGGGCTCTGAATGGTAAGTGCTGGTGCTTTCTTTGTAGCTGAGAGAGCAGAAGTAACACCTGCTCCATATTCTGAATGCAACTAGTCAGTAATTCACTAAACATTCATTAAAGGTGCCTACTGTGTGACAGGCACTGTACTAAGCACTGGGGATACAAAAAAGAAAGGGCAAAAGCTCAAAATCAAATAAGGAAAACAATATTTAAACAAGCTATACACAGAGTAAATTGGAAATAATAACCTAGAGTCCCAAGTTTCATAGGTTATTGGAATGGCTTTTCTGTGGAAAATGATTTGGAGATACATTCCATCAGGTGAATGTTATTGGACCAGGTATAAGTTTTGTTTTGTACTTGTGTTTTAAGTACATGAGATTTTTAAGTTAATATCATGTTTCTAAGGGTTTTTTTAACGTTATGATTTGGGAAAATGTTATATAGAAGTGCTTTATATTTTGGAATGGTACCTGTAGTTTGATTCCTTTGTAAAACGAAGAGGATAGCCGCTCTTTGACCTGAATACTGTCATTTTATAAATTTGGACTATCACTTATTATTATTATTATTAGGGCTGTTAGTTACTATTTGGGCTGCCTTGAGAAGTGTGGATTCCCCCTTGTTGGAGGCCTTCAAGCAGAGATAGGTGACCATTTGTCAGATATGTAACAGTTGGGGTGTGGATTGAACTAGGAAGCTGCTGAGGTCCCTTCCAACTTCCAAATTTTGTGAATCTGTGAATTCCAACTTCAGGAAACACAGCAGGTAGGCTGCATTCTCAAAGTGTGGGCTCAGGATCCCTGGAGATTCCCTGACCCTTCAATGAGTCTTTGAGGGAAAAACTATTTTCTTAGCAGTACTAAGATGTTATTTTCCTATCAAAATACTTCTTCCTTTTCTACTACATGTCTATGTGAGGCCAGATTTTCTTTATATGCTTCCAGACAACATATTGTAACAGATTGAATCCAGAAGCAGATAGGACGATCCAACTGTCTGCTATTAAGCCAGACATAAAAGAGATTTGCAAAAATATGTACGATGCCATTCTTCTCACTAAATTTTATTGTTTTGGAAAATATATTTTTCATAAAAAGTTATTAATGTTAACATGTAATGGGCTTTTTATTGTTTCTAATGAATTAATAAATCTTTTAAATTTCTATCAGTTTTAACTTCCAATAGGGGTAAACATCAATAGATGTAACCCACATAAGCAAAAATTCTTTGGGATCTTTTAAGAGGAGAAAAGAGTCTAGGGGCAGCTAGGTGGCACAGTGAATAGAGTGCTGGGCCTGAAGTCAGGAAGACTCAACTCCCTTGAGTTCAAATCTGGCCTCAGGCACTTACTAGCTAGCTGTGTGACCCTGGGCAACTCACTTAACCCTGTTTGCCTCAATTTCCTCATCTGTAAAAAAAAAAATGAACTGGAGAAGGAAAAAGCAAACCACTCCAATATCTTTGCCAAGAAAAGCCCAAATGGGATCACGAAGAGTTGGACACAACTGAAAAGCCAAAGCCCAACCACAAGTCTTGACGCCAAAAAGTTTGAGAATTGCTGAAGCAAGACATTTTGACCAAAATGTAGACTGCATGAAGGTAAGTAACGCAGAAAAAAAAAAACCTCTGGAAAACTCTGGACTCCTACTTTAGAATGTAAGCTCCTTGAGGGCAGGGACTGTTTAATGTTTGTCTTCTAACCCCAGCAACAAACACAGTGCTAGGCATGTAGTAGCACCTCATAAATGCATTGATTGATTGGGCCTGGCGCTTAGGAGAGGGTCCAGAGCTGGATTTATAGAGTATTTAGGTCCTCTTGTCACCAAATCATGGAATTTTAGAGTTAGAAGGTCAGCTTCTTACTTGAACATACCATCTCCCTTGAGCTCATCCTGGGTTCTCATTCCTTTCACAGCCAAACCAGGAAAAGCTGCCTCTATCCTCAGTGCCTCCATTTCTTCTCCACCCACTCACTCAATTCCCTTGTCTCTTGCAATCTGGCCTCCAAACTCATAACTCAATTGAAAAATACTCTTTGCAAAGTTACCAGTGATCTCTTCATTAACAAACCTAATGATCTTTTATCCATCCTCATCCTCCAGAATGCAGCATTTAACACTGGTGACTACCCTCTCCTCCTGCATACTATCCTCTCTGGGCTTTGTTTTTGTTTTCTTACAATATTCTCTCTTGGTTCTCTTCTTACTTGACTGACTTTTCCTCAGTCTCTTTAGCTGAATCACTTAGATCACACTCCCTAAGTGGAACTGTATTCCAAGGCTCTACCCTCCATTGGCTTTCCTTTTCACTCTTATACTTACTCTTCTCTCTCTCTCTCTCTCTCTCTCTCTCTCTCTCTCTCTCTCTTTCTCTCTCTCTCTCCCTCCCTCCCTTACCTCCTTTCTCCCTGACTTCATCAGCTCCTATGAATTTAATTTTCATCTCTTTGTACATGATTCATATGTTCTCCCTGACTTCATCAGCTCCTATGAATTTAATTTTCATCTCTTTGTACATGATTCATATGTTTTACACACACACACACACACACACACACACACACACACACACACACACACACACATATATAGTCCAGCTCTAGCCTTTCTCTTGAGCTCAACTCCTACATGCCCAACTATCTGTTGGACGTTAGGAACTGGATGTCCTGTAGATATCTCAAATTCCACTAAGTCCAAAACAAAACTCATTATTTCCTCCCCTCAAAATCCTACCTTCTTCCAAATGTCGCTGTTTCTTTCTAGAGTACCAGCATCTTTCCAGTCACCCAGTTCACAACTTCAGTCTCATCCTGGATTCCTCACTCACCTTTAACTCTTTTATCAAACCAGTTGCCAAGTCTTGTTGATTTTATCCCTTAACATTTCCTGTATTTGTTTTCTCTCTACTTTCATAGCCATTACCCTACTTTATCACATCACCTTCTTGACAGTAACAGCTGCCAAATGGATCCTTCTGCTTCAGGTATCTCCCTTCCTTGATCTATCCTCCACACAACTACCCAAGTGATTTTCCGAAAGCGGAGGTATGACCAGGTCACTCCCCTCCTCAATAAATTCCAGTGGCTCACTGTTACCTCTAGGATGAAATACAAACTGTTCCATTTTCAAAGTTATTTACAACCTGATTCCAACTGACCTTTCCAGCTTTCTTATAAATTATTCCCTTTAAGACGTTCTAAATTCCAACCAAACTGTTCTTTTTGCTAGTTCTCATGCATAGCACTCCCTCTCTCAATTTTGTGCTCTTGTACTGGCAGTCCCTCATGGCTGGAATGTATTCCTTCTTGATTTCTGCCTCTTCAAATTCAATTTCCTTCAAAGCTCAATTCAAACACTATCTTCTACATTAGGTGGTTCCTGATTTCCAACCCCTCCTCCCCCAAGATAAATCTGATGTAGCTAAGTATTGCAGTATAGACCATAGGTAGAATCAAGAAGTGTGTGTGTGTGTGTGTGTGTGTGTGTGTGTGTGTGTGTTCAGTCATGCCTGACTCTTGATGACCCCATTTGGGGTTTTCTTGGCAAAAATACTGGAATGGGTTGCCATTTCCTTCTCCAGTTCATTTTTTTTTACAGATGAGGAAATTGAGGCAAACAGGGTTAAGTGAGTTGCCCCAGGGTCACACAGCTAGCTAGTAAGTGCCTGAGGCCAGATTTGAACTCAAGGGAGTTGAGTCTTCCTGACTTCAGGCCCAGCACTCTATTCACTGTGCCACCTAGCTGCCCCTTGGTGTCAAAAACCTGAGTTTAAATCCAGCCTAAGACACTTAATAACTATGTTACCCTGGACAAGTCACTTGCAAGTTATAAGTTCTGTCTGCCTCAGTTTCTGCAGCTGTAAAATGGGGGTGATAATACCTCCCAGGGTTGTTGTGAAGATCAAATGAAATAATATTGGTAAAGCACAGTGCCTGGCATATAGTAATAGGCATTTAATAAATGCTTGTTTTCTTCCTTCTCCCTCCACTAAGTTACCTTATATTTATTTCAGATGTATTTTGCAAATAGTTATATAAATAAATACGTATTTCCCTCAATAGACTGCAAATTCTTCAAGAGTAGGAACTAGTTCATTTTTTTCTTTGTGTCCCCAGTGCCTAAGCACAACCCTTAATAAGTACTCGATTGATTAATTTATCTAATCCAAACTCCCCATTTTACAGATGAAGAAACAGGCTGAGAGGGAAAGCAAGCAAATGATTCCCAAGATCTAATAGTTACACCTTTGTTAAAATACTGTACCTGTTAACTAAATGTTTTCAGAAAGTTAATAACCCACATATTTATCTGTAGCACTTCATGGGGCAGCTAGGTAGTACAGTGGATAGAGCACTGGGCCTGGAGTCAGAAAGACCTGAATTCAAATGCGGCCTCAGATACTTACTAGCTGTGTGACCCTGGGTAGGTCACTTAACCCTGTTTACCTCAGTTTCCTCATCTGTTAAATGAGCCAGAGAAGGAAATGGCATATCACTCCAATATCTCTTCCAAGAAAACCCCAAAAAGATGTCACAAAGAATAGGACACTACTGAAAATGACTGCACAACAACAACAAAACTTGCTGGTCGCCAGGATGACTTCATGGGTTGTCACAGTCCATTCCCAACACTGACCTGGGGTAGGCAATCTGCAATTCTTTCACTTTTCCTTTGGTCTCAGCATCCATGAATCCATCAAATATGTCCTTTTTCATGCGAATAAGTGTGGCTCCTCGGCTCACCAAGATCATATTTCGCTTATCCTGTAAATTGTCAGGCATGAAGCGTTGGTGCAGGCCCTAGAGAAAGAAAAACTGTCACCCCAAATCACAAACGACAGAATTCTCTGGCCGCAGGAGTCCTCCTGAGGGTGTGGCTTCCTAGCAGGCAGAAGGGGGATCGTCAAAGGGGACATAGTTCATTCGGATGTGTAATAATAATAATTTACGTTTATAGAGCATTTCATAGGTTTGCAAAGCATCTTTTCTCGTCAAAACCCTGAGAAATGGGCAGTGTGAAAAGTCTTGTTATCATGATTCAGATTTTACAGATGAAAAACACTCAGGCTCAGAAAGGGAAAGTGGCTTCTTAGGTCACACACCTAGTTAGCAAGTCGAATCTTGAAACCTAGCCCAGCGACTAAATCTAGTTCGCCTTCCACAGCATGAGGCTCTGCTGCCTGGCGGGTTCCATAATTTACAGTTACAAACAGTGCGGTGTAACCGGTAGCTGGACCCAGGGACTTGGGTAAATACTTTACCAGAACGTCGCCTGGCTCCAGGCGGTGAACCTTCACATAGACGCCTGCCACAGCATCCTTTGGGAGTGGTCCGAACTTCGTCATCACCACGGGGAAAGAGATGGGACAAGAGCTAGAGCCAATCCTGAAGCGTCTAAAAATAGAAGGATTCAGAGAATCTCTTGTGAGAGAGCAGCATCACGGAAACCTGAGTGTCCACCTACAACGGCCCAGAAGGAGCTGAGAACCTTAGGTGACGCGATCAACAAGTGTTCATTAAGAAATCTTCATTGATCACTTGCCCTCCCCCCTTCCAGGAGAATTCCCATTCACCCAGAGGTAGCCAACTGAGGGCACCATAAGGAATCCACTTCCATGCACAGACCAAGGAAACACAGCTGTGTTTCCTGCTTCATAGTACTCAGACTTAGAAGTGTCTACTCAAATTACCTTGTGTTTCACTATGCAAATTTTGAATTCTATTGCAGAACTTAAGTGCCTTGAGGGTAATTTTAAAAAATTTAATCAAAGGAGTAATAATTATTATTAATCATCAGGGCTACTAGGTGGCAAATGGATAGAGTGCTGGGCCTGGAGTCAGGAAGACTCATCTTCCTGAGTTCAGATCTGGCCTCAGACACTTACTAGCTGTGTGACCCTGGGCAAGTCACTTAACCCTGTTGGCCTCAGTTTCCACATCTGTAAAATGAGCTGCAGAAGGAAATGGCAAACCTTTCTAGTATCCTTCCAAGAAAACCCCAAATGGGGTCATAAAGAGTCAGACACAACTGAAAGGAATGAGCAACAACAGCAATAAATTATTAATCATCAAAAGATCAATAATCATTTCTTCAGGAGCTAGGATTACAAAGACAAAAGTTACATAGACTCTGCCATTCTGTCAACAGAGGAGAACAAAGATAAGTTCCTATGGCTTATATTCAATACGATGTTCCATTGGCACAGCCAGGTGGCACACTGGACCTGTCATTTCAGTAATGTCCAACTCTTCATGACTCCGTATGGGGTTTTCTTGGCAGAGATACTAGAGGAGTTTGCTATTGTCTTCTCTAGCTCATTTTACAGATGAGGAAACAGAGGCAAACAGGGTTAAGTGACTTTTCCAGGGTCATACAGCTAAGTGTCTAAGGCTGATTCCAATCCCAATGACCTATCCACTGTGTCACCTAGCTGCCCTGAAGTCAGGAAGAACTGAGTTCAAATCCTGCCTCAGACATTTACTAGCTGCCATGATTCTGGGCAAGTCACTTAACCTCACTCAAGCTCAGTTTCCTCATCTGTAAAATGGAGAAAATAATAAGACTTACCTTATAGCGTTGTTGGAATCAAATGAGATAACTTACGTACAGTGTTTTGCAAATCTTAAAAGCTCTATATAAATGCTAGCCAGCTATTACAGCTTTCAAGAACCTGGCGTCACGTGTATGCAATGATGAGTCATCAGGAAAAGATTAGAGTGAAGTCATTGTTATAATCATCATAACTCCCATTTCCTAACTCCTAGCACCATGCCTGGCATGTACTAAAAGCTTGTTGATTGATCAATTGCCTTAAGGTTCCAAAGTGCTTTCCTCACAACCATCCTATATGGTGGCCATTATATGCATTTTTATTTCCATTTTGTAGAACAGGAAACTGAAGCTCTAAAAGATGAAGTGATTTGCCCAAGGTCACACAACTAGTAAGTTTTGGAGCCAGGATTCAAACTAAAGGCTCAGATGACTCCACATTCCCCCACTTCTTTCACACTGGTAGCTCATTGCCTTTAACTCTATCACTTTGTCCCTCAACAATAAAGACCCAGGAGTCATGGGGTCACTTCTCCTTGGTGTGTTTCATTTTCCTAGTCTGTAAGTGGGGAAAGCAACATACTTGTAAACATGTATTAGAAAATTCTGAATTGTTCTCCAAAATTCTCCTTTAATTTCCTCAGATAAAGAAAGGGCAGCCATGATGTGATAGGAAAAAAAAAAACTTTCCTGTACAATTGGATCAGGAAAATCTCCCAAGGCTTATCAAACACAAAGATTACTACCTGGATTAGCAAACACAAAGATTACTACATACAAAGATGACTTCTGGAGATTCACATGGAAACATGATACTACCAGGAGCAATGCAGGAAGAATTGTTAACGAATGGGCAATTCTGAGCAAGAAAATGAAGAGCCTTTAGGCACAAGAGGGTGTTTTTAACCCTGACAAGGGCTTAAGACAAAATTGATAAGATTTGGGAAGCCAACAACTGATGCTGGTTCCAGAAATCCAATAACTGTCCTCAGACACCATCTTCTTAAAAAGAAGGGACTTTTGGATGACAGTTTAAGATGTAGGAAGGATGGGATGTTGTCCAGGAATGGAATACACCTCATGAGGACTGAGTGTGTGTGTGTGTGTGTGTGTGTGTGTGTGTGTGTGTGTGTGTGTGTGTGTCTGTTGCCTGGAGTTTTGCAAATCAAATTAAAAGGGCTTTAAACTAAAAAAGAAAGGAGGAAGAAAATGCCTACATATGTCTAGTACAGATAAATACAACTGAATATAAATAACTACAAGGTAAGAAGAATAACGGTAGAGATGCCCAGAAATTCCCAGGAGACAAAATTCAAGAGAAGAGACAGAAATAAAACCTATGGCCTCAAATGTCTGTTCACTGATGCACGAAGTATTGATGACAAGCAAGGCAAACCAGAAATCATAACATAAGGAGGCAAATTTGACCTCATGGGTATCCCTCATACATGGTAGAATAGGAACTTTAACTGGAATATGCCTCTAGGAAGGGTCCCCAGCTTGCCCTTCCTTATTCAAAAGGAACAGAATAGAGAAAAGAAGCAGGGCAGAATAGCATTTTATATTAGGAAAATATACACATGTAGGGAAGCCAGGAACTAGGTGAAGAAAGGATAATGGAGAACAACAGGTATAGCATCAACAAGCCTTTATTAGGTAGCTATGTACCAAGTGCTATGATTTGAACTCAGCTTTTCCTAATCCCAGGGCAGATAGGTGACACAGCGGATAGAGCTTTGGTCTTGGAATCAGCCTCAGACCCTTAGCTGTATGACTCTGGAAGGGAAAGGAAGGAAACAAACACTTACTGAGCACATACTACGTGCCATGCACTATGCTAAGTAAGCATTTTGCAAACATTACTTCGTTTGATCCTTACAACAACCCTGAAATCTAAATGCTATCATTTTTCCTATTTTACAGGTATGGAAACTGAGGCAAACAAAGCTTAAGTGATTTGCCTAGAGTAACATAGCTAATAAATGGCTGATGCCAGATTTGAACTCAGGTCATCCTGACTCCAGGACCAATGCTCTATCCACTTGGCCACCTAGTTGCTTCTGGGGATCTTTCTGAAAGAGGAGAATAAAAATTGAACAGTCTTGCCCTCAAGTAGCTTACAATCTATCAGAATTTCAGAACAATGGAAGGAGGGAGCTATTGTTGTTGATTAGTGATCTTGTCATAGGAATATAGTTAGCAAATTCTGACAGAGAAAAGACCCAAGTTTAGGAAACAGATCACAAGCCTATCACAAAGGATATGACATAGTAGCGATGGGAGACTATCTGGTTATCTCTGTTGGATCTCTTTTTCTTTCTCTCTCTTCTCTCTCTCTCTCTCTCTCTCTCTCTCTCTCTCTCTCTCTCTCTGGCAAAAGGTAAGCAGATAATAATTTCTTAGCTTGCTTGATGACAATTTCATCCTTAAAAAAGTAGAGAAAGTAACCAGAGGAGCCATTATTCTGAACCCAACTCTGACAAAGCACTGGTAACTAAAGTAGAAATGATGGGAACCTTGAGGGAAAGTGACCCAATCCATTCTGGAATCTGTGATAGAGACCAGGAAAACTAGACGTAGTCTGAAATGTATTCTGGATTTTTGGAGATCAGATTTTAAAAGGTTTAAGGAAGTGATAGGTCAGATGTCATGTCCTAAAATTCCACAGAGGATGTTAGACCTAGAGAGATGAGAAAGAAGTAAAAGAAGAAACTCTAAAGACATACACGTAAACAATTTTAATGGGGAGGAAAAGGGCAAGTTAATAAAAAAAGATAAATGTGGATACACAGGGAACTCACCAGCTTCTACTTTATTGTTTTTATTAATTTTTTTAGCAAAAATCCACCTTTTCTCTCACCCCCTTCTGAAAAAGCAAGAAAAACAAAACCCTTCTTTTATAAATGTAAATAATCAAGCAACACAAATTCCCACTTTTCAATTCAATTCAAAACAATTGATTACGTGCCTCCTATGTGCCATGTACAGTTCTAGGTGCTGGAAATACAAAAAGAGGCAAAAGACGGTTCCTGCCCTCAAGGAGCTTACAACCTAATGGAAGAGACAGCATGCAAGCAAATATGTACAAAGTAAGTTATATACAGGATAAGCAGGAAATAATTAAAAGAGGGAAAGCAATGGAATTAAGAGGGGTTAGGAAAGGCTTCTTGTAGAAGGTAGGATTTTAGTTGGGACTTAAAGGAAGCCAGGAAGGTCAGTAGTTGGAGTGGAGGAAGGAGAGCATTCCAGGCCTGGGAGAGAGCCAGAGAAAATGCCTAGAGCCCAGAAATGGAGAAATGGATTGTTCATCTCTCCCTCTCTCTATACATACATACATACACACACATATGTATGCATCAGTCTGCACTCTGACTCCAACTTATACTTTAAAAGGATGTGTAAAAAATAAAAGATATCAATAAAAATTTTAAAAGAAAGAAGCAAGGACAGGTAATAGAGGATAAATTACAAAAGCCAGGTAAGTCCTATAAGGATGTCAGAAATCCTAATGACATGGAGAATGAGCTGTGATGAAGAGTGACAAAGACAAAAAACTTCTCATCTTTTTTGCTGATATCTTTTGTTTTCATATCACATTAATTTTCAAATAATCACAATAATTTTCAAGCATAATCTCTCCCTGCTCTCACATGCAGCAAGCTGTTCCTTGGAACAAAGATCAAAAAGAAAGACAAAAAATGCAGTTCAGTAAAATTAGCCAACACATCAACCATGTTTGGCAGCCCAATCACTCTTCTCCACTAGGACAGTTTTTAAGCTATCTCTGAGGGAAAGAGGAGGATCAAAGAAAAGATAGGACCCTGCTGCCTGAGGCACTGATAATAGATGATAGAGAGAAGGCTAGACTACTCGATTCTTATTTTTTGCTTGTTTTCTTTGTCAAAGAAAATCATCTTTAAACTGGAAATGCCAAAATAAAAATGGCTAAAAGGTACCTGAAATTACCAAGATGTATTTGGGACTTCTATGACTACTATTACAAAAATAATACCCTTTCTTTATCAAAATAAAGGAAGGCAGATAATTGAAGAGATTCTTCTATTTCATGGTTTAGCCATACCTATATAAGAAAAATGATAATGCTAGCTAAATTGATCTATAGATTTAGTGCCAAACCAATTAAACTACCAAAGGTTTGCTTTTCAGAACGAGATAAAATAATGAAAAAATTCATCAGAAGGAAAAAAACATTATGTATCTCAAGGGGGAGAAAAAAGGTAGAAATGAAGGGGACCTGGTATGACCAGATGTCAAACTGTACTATAAAAAAGTAATCACCAAAACTATTGGTTCTGTTTCAAAAAACAGAAAATTTGATCAGTGAAACAGACTAGGTAAGCAAGACCCAGAAGCAATTTAACATAGACACCTAGTGTTTAATAAAACCAAGAATACAAACTAGTAGAGGAAATACTCCTAAACTGACAAAAATTTCTTAGAAAACTGGAAAGCAGTTTGAGAGAAATTAAGTTTATATCAGCATCTTACATTATACACCAGAATAAGTTCTGAATGGATTTGTGGTCTAAATATAAAAGGTCACATCATTTTAAAAATTAGAGAATAGACGGATATAACTAGCACAACTCTGACTATGGAAGGAATTCGTAAGCAAAATAATAAAGAAGATCATAAAAGATAAAAGAGACAATTCTGATTACATAAAATGGAAAGGTTTTACTTGGACAAAATCAGTGTAGCTGGAATAACAAGAAAAGTCAATTAAATGGGAGAGCAAGGGAATCCTTTTCCTTCCCAGACTCTTTGCAGTCAAAATGATCATCTGACTGAACTTGGTGTTCCATCTCACATTTACAACGCCATTTTAAGGGCTGTCCCTGTACTTGGAATGCACCTGTCCTAACCTCTACTCCTTTGAATTCTTGATCTCCTTTAAGACTCAGGTAAGGTGTCATTTCCCATGAGAAGCCTTTCCTGGTTACCCTCAATGTCAGTTTTCTCTCCCTCCTTAGGTTGTATTGTATTTACTTCTCTGTGTAAATGTTGTAATCCCTACCCCAACTCAGTACCATATACCTGCCAATAGATGGGTCTTCCTTGAGAACTGGAATATTTTTCATTTTGGTTTTATATCCCTAGCACCTAACATAGTGCTTTGCACATAGAAGGCATTTAATAAATGTCTGTTTGATTCAATTGGCAAGTCCCTATTTCCCCAGCACCCAGTTCATTAACTCCTGATGATGCTCCAAAGACAATACTTAACTAGTACGCGCTAATAGTATGCGCTAAATCCAAGGTCAGAGAAGCTGTTGTAATGGGGGGACCAGTGGCAGCTGGGCAGTTGGATGGGCTCTCACGAAGCTCCCTTCCAGCTCTGAGACTGTAGGACTGGATGCCTCTTTGATGAGGAAGAACTTCCCACCTTTTCCTAACTAATAAATGTCTCCTCCAAGAAAGACCTAACAATCTCATGTCCTCCCCCACTCTGAGCCTGAAGCTTCCTTGTGTCCCAAACCCTACTCACTTGTTCTGTGATTTCAAGGATTTGAAGCCATTTGGATTGTGTTGATCGTCTGTGGAGCTGTAAGATTTTTCTTCCTGCCTAATCTTCTCCAGATGTGCCATTTTCAGATTACTGAAGTCCATTACTGGGTAGGATTTGAGCTGAAAATCTTTAAATCTTTTCCGGGGAGAGCTTTCTGTTAGAGAAAACCAGATTTCTCTAAGTAAAAGCATGAGTGAGTTTCCATTAAGATTATTAAGTTTAAAATTTTTAAGTGTTTAAAAAACCTTTCTATTTAAAAAGACAAGCACAGAAATGGGAAGGAGACATGAAGAAAATAAGCTATTATAAATACTTTGATGTTTTGATAGATTGGCATTTTCATCAAAAGGCATATTCCCTCCCCTGGTGCTGATTGCAACCCATCCTTCCTACTAATCCTGTTCCACTCTTGTCCATGTCCTCCTGGGCATCCTCCACATGGTTTGTTCACCCAACCTGCTAGAGGCCTTTCTCTCTTTCTCTGTCTCTCTCTTTCTCTTTCCCCCCACTGGGAGACAACAGTAAAGGCTATCTTTTTGTCATCCTTTGACCCAACACCTCTCTTTTTATTTTTGTCCTTTTAATTTTTTTTTTATTCTGACTTAACACCAAATAGAACCAAAATTTCCATATGTGAAGTAAGGCAGAAAAAGAGGATTGTGCATGAAACCCTGAATCTCCATTATATATGTTTGCTTTTCCTTTTAGTATATAATAAATTTAACATGTGAATGTGGGAGGGGGGAGGTGCAGCTAGGTGGCATGGTGAATAGCCCACTGCATCTGGAGTAAGGAAGAGCTGAGTTCAAATCTGGCCAGAAACATTTATTAGCTCTGTGATCCCCTGGGCAAGTCATTTAACCTTTGTTTGCCTCAGTTTCTTTATTTGTAAAATGGGTATAATTAAAGCACTCCTCTCCCAAGGTTGTTGTGAGGATCAAATGAGATAATGATTGTAAAGTGCTTAGCACAATGCCTGGCACATAGTAAGTGATATATATTTTAAATGTTAGCAATGATGATGATGATGATATTGCTTTCAAAGTTGACCTGCCTGTCTACATCTCTTTTGATCGTCCTTCTGCTCTTTTCTGTGCTTTAAGAAAAAAAAATGCTTCATGGGGACAGCTAGGTGACACAGTAGATAGAGCACCGGCCCTGAAGTAAGGAAGACCTGAGTTCAAATCTGGACTCAGACACTTGACACTTACTAGCTGTGTGACCCTGGGCAAGTCACTTAACTTCAATTGCCTAACCAAAAAAAAAAATGCTTCAGTAATCCTTTCTAGTCATACATCTCTGTGATGACACCGTTACAGTTATTAATTAATTTTTTGTAACAGATATGGCTAAAGAGTAAGAGTAGGGGTATTTGGATTATTTGGTTTTTGTTAACATTTAGGTTATAATTTGGAAAAATCATTTTAAGGAAAAGACAAAGAAAAAGGGTCCCTGAGTATTGAAATCATGAGAAATGCTTAATGACTTCCTCCCACCTCCCTCCCCCAAAGCTTGCCCCATTCACCCAAAGAAAGACCTTAGGAGGAAGATATAGCTCTTCCTCCATATCAAGGGCCATCAGGGATTCTGGGACTCAGCCCCATTCACCCATAGGCTGGGGGGCCTTTAAAGTTGAAGAGGAGTGTAGTTCAGCATGGAAACCTCAGGGGGTTCAGCAGAGATGTGACAAGCTACAAACAGCTGCCTATGCGTACAGCAGGAGAGAAATGGCAGATCATTCCTTGCCCCTACCCAGAAGCAATGAGGCTGATAAAAATCAGCCTCCAGGATTTTCTAATGTGCCCCTTCACAGCCCTACTGTGGAGTTATTGTTGATTACTGATTCACCATGCATATGGCAAGGGGGATTATGCAAGACCTGGTATCCTAAAGAACCCTCTCTCTGCCCTGCTCTTCTTATGTGTGAGTGTATGCGTCTCCTTTGGGTCAGGGCCTTGGGCACAAGTGCCGTTTCTATAATTTCCCTCTAGAAGGTCTGTTTGTCTGTGAGTGTTTATGCATCAAGGGGAAAGCTACAACAAGGGAGAGGGGATGGTCTAAACTAGTCAGATTTCTAGGAGAAGAGGCTACTAATGAATACTGGTCCCAGACTAATCTGGAGAGAGTTCTTCTGAGAATATGGCTCTGAGGTCCTACCTGTCTCTAAAAGGGAACAAGAGAAAATGCAGTGCCCTCATAAATACAGTATAGGCTCTGGGTCAAGCCAAGAGGGATAGTAGAGAATGTGTAGCACAATTCGCTCATTTTGCGGTTGGGGAAACAGAGGCCCAGATGTCTTGCCACTATACAACCCTACCTCTCAGTCACCAGAGAGGGAACCAAGAAGTCATGAAAGGATCAGAAAAATTAATCGGGGAATGAGAACCAGACATGGTGAACGAAACTCAATTGAGGGAGAATTTATTATGGGTCAGGAACTGTGTGAGAGTTTGGAGACAACCAAGAGTAGCTTATATTCTCCGGGGTGGGGGGAGAGAAGAAATTGCATGCATATAAAATAAGTGCAAAACATATACAAAGCAATTTAGGGAGGAGGGCTCTAGCAACTGAGGGTGGGGGTCATAAAAGGTTTCCTATGGGAGGTACTACTTGTCTTGAACGAAGCCTTTAAGAAATGGAGGGAAGGGGGCAGCTAGGTGGCACAGTGGATAGAGCACCGGCCCTGAAGTCAGGAGGACCTGAGTTCAAATCAGACCTCAGACCAAACACTTGACACTCACTAGCTGTGTGACCCTGGGCAAGTCACTTAACCCCAATTGCCTAAAAAAAGAAATGGAGGGAAGGAGGGAGTACCTTCCAGACATGAAGAACAGTTTGTTCAAAAGCATGGAGGTGCCACTGGTTGCCATGCAAAGTCCAAGGAACAGCAAGGTGGGCAGTTTGGCTAGAATGTTAGGTACATGGAAAAGAGTAATGTGAAAGAAGCCTCGAAATGTAAGGCAAGAAATAGAATTGTAAAGGGCTTTAAATGAAGAACATGGATATAACAGATCATATCTCCTGTGTACCCCCCTCAAAAGAACAACAGTTGGAAAGGAATTGTTAACTAGAAATTGAGTGACTTAGGTTCTAGTTCTGGTTTTGCCTTAATTCACTGAGTGATCTTGGGGGAAATCTCAACCTATCTCTGGGCCTCAATTTCCCCATCTGTAAAAGAGAGAATTCCATAAAGTAAAAAGGGATGACTCAGGAGGCACTGGGTTCCCCTCTCCCTGAAAAACTTCAAGGAAAGGCTGAATGATCTCTGGGTTGGGAATGTTGTGGAATTGAATTCTTGGTCAAGGACAGATAAGATTAGATGGTATTTGAAGTCCCTGACAGCTCTGAGATTCTATAACTCTGGTTTTGTGAGGGGTTTGGTTGTGATGGTCTCTAAGGGCCCTTTCATTGTTAATATTCTCTGATTCTACCACGCCCAAGGCAGGAGGCTAGAGTTTTTCTGCTAAGCCTATTCACTGTCAGATTTTAGAAGCCCAGGGGCACCCTAGCCACAGCTAACAATTCTATGACTCTACCAAATTTCCGAGTGTCCAGAAGGCTGTGTTCCAATGGTGTCAGCAGCTGCCATACCCACTTGTAATAGGAGCGGCAAGTCGAAAGGTCCAACAGCCGGATGACATCACACAGGCCCTAAATGTGTCAAGGAAAATGGCAAGGTGAATCCCAGAGACCTGGGCCGATCTAGTTCTGGGGATGAGCTTAGTATCAGATCACTTTGGAAGGGACCCAGGAACTGAGTTTTCAAAGGCCACATTTCAAGATTCAAAATAGGAGGTATATGATTGTAATGGAATATTATTATAAGAAGTTGCTCTAAGAAATGACAAGCAGGATGATTTCAGAAAAACCTGGAAACTTACATGAACTGAAGCACAGTGAAGTGAGCAGAACCGGGAGAACATTGTACACAGTGATAGCAATACTGTATGATGAACAACTGTGAATGACTTAGCTATTCTTAGCAGTACAATAAGCCAAGACAATCCCAAAGGACTCATAATGAAAAATTCTATCCATCTCCAGAAAAAGAACTGATGGAATCTGAATACAGACCAAAGCATACTATTTTTCACTTTCCTTCTTTTATTTTTTTTGTTTGAGTTTTTTTCCACAAAATGACTAATATGGAAATATGTTTTACATGATTGCAAGTGTAACCTACATCACATAACCTATATCAGATTGCTTACTGTCTCAAGGAGGGGGGAGGGGAGGGAAGAAGGGATAGAATTTGGAACTCAATTTTTTAAAAAATGAATGTTAAACATGTTCTTACATGTAGCTGGGGAGAAAATGAAATATTATTTTTTTTAAAAAGATTCAAAATAAGAAATAGTTTTATATCACTGGAGATGCAGCATAGCATGGGGGAAAGGGGACTGAGCTTAAAGCCAGAAGACTTGGGTTCCAGTCCTAATTAAGAATGAAGGACAAACAACAACTGTGTATCCATTAGGGAAATCATTCCATTTCTCTGAGCCATGGTTTCTTCTTCTGTAAAATGGAGATGATAACAGTTGTCTCCCCCCCAGAGTGTCATACAGGAAGTGCTTTGTTTTGTCATTTTTTAAAAAATCTGTTTTGTCATTTCTTTATGGGACTCAAAGGGAATCATCACTGTGCCTCCCAATGAAATCCACAGGGTTCAGAACCACCAGGGCACCATCTAGTGGCTAAGACTCTCGAAGGCTTATGGCAGAGTCTCCAAAGTGGGGGTCTGGGGTCTCCAGGGCGACAGTCACCTGACAGCGAAACCCACAACAGCCAATTGTGGGATTTGTCTGGCAAACAACTGTGACACTCCCTCCTTCCCCAATGCAAGCTCCCAATCTCTTCCCCTCTGAACTCTGTCCCCAGGCGGTTATAGCATGAGCATTATCCTGGCACCCACTTACTGCAGCTGGGGCCACTGAGAAAATTTCTCACTCTAGTCCTTGCTCCCTCCCCGACCCCCTCCCCTCATCCCCTCCAGGGTACTGATCTATGAATAAGAGCCCTATCTCTCTCCTTTTTGTTTTAGATGGGACAGAGTGAGAGGCATTGGCATGGATGGGCCACAATCTGTTAAGGATCCCATAATGTTATCATTACCCTCAAACCTACCCTTCAGCAGAAAATCCCTGCTGCTGTCAGACACCACCGTTCTTCCGGTCACCTGGCTCATTACCTGGTGATACTCTCGATGAGTCATTCTTCCGTATCCCTCATAGCCAATTAATTAGTTGCCAAATCTTGCTGCTTCTGTCTCCATATATCTACCCTGCCGGACGTCATCATCCTTTGCCTGGCCTTTTCAGTAGCGTCCTAATTGGCTTCCCTGTTTCAATTATCTGTCCACTCAAATCCATCTTCCACATACGGCTAACAAAGTAATTTTCCTAAAGCCTAGGTCTGATCATGTTACTGCCCTTCTCAATAAACTTTAGTGGCTCTCTATTGATTCTAGGGTCAAGTATTATTCTCTGTCTCATTCTTTTTCAATGTCTGCTTTTGTGTGCTTAAGAATATACACCATTATTAGTATTATGGTACCTGAACATAGAATTTATAAATAAGTTAATGAATACACGTTGGGAGTGCAAGCTTAAAATCTTTTTTACTCGTAAGAGTGTGTGATTAAAAAAATGGTTGGAGACCACTGGTTTGGAGCACTCAACTCAATTCATGGAGCATTTGTTAAATGCCTATTACAGGTGAGGCACCAGGCCAGGTACTGAGGGTATCTATCCTCAAAGAGTTTATTTTTTCTGGGATGAATGAGTGCATGTTATTAATGTGAAGTTGTGAATATGAACAGGTAACTTAAATTTCAATCCAATAAATATTGATTAATGATGTGCCAGCCACTGAGCTAGGTGTTACGGTTACAAAGACAAAAACAAAACAATTTCTGCCCTAAAGGAGCTTATGTTCTACTAGTGGGACAATAGTATATACACAGATTAAGTAAAATACTTGCAAAGTAAAGACAAAGTAATCCAAGGGTGGGGGAGAAAACTAACAATGGGGGGGGCAGGGTGAGGGAGGATAAGGAAAGACCTTTTGTAGAAGATGACCCTTAGATCCCTGGAAGGAGCTAGGGAGGCCCAGGTGAGGAGGGAGAGCATTTCAGGGATGGATCACACTCTGTGCAAAGCCCTGGAGGTGGGAGATGGAATGGTACATATAGAGAACAGCAAAGAGGCCAGACTGGAATATTCAATGCCTAAGAGGGAGTAATGTGAAATTAGTCTAGGAAGATAGCTGGAGTCAAATTGTAAAGGGCTTTAAATGCCAGACAGAGGAGCCTGTGTTTTGTCCCTGCAGCAACTGAGAGCTCCATGAACAGGGGGAGTGACATGATCAGATGTGCTTCAGGAATATTAATTTGGGAATTGTATGGAGGATGGATTGGAGATGAGAGGAACTATAGGGAAATTAATTGTAATAGATCCTTTGAGAGACGAGGGTCTAAAGAGAGATTTCTCTCTTCTTTTTCTTCTCTGTCTCTCTGTCTCTCTCTTTCTGTCTTTCTGTCACTGTCTCTCTCTCTTTCTGTCTCTGTCTCTCTCACACATACACAAACACACACACATATACACATGACCAAGAGCTCTACCCTAAGACATAAATGGTCTAAGGAAATGAATAGCTTTCAAAAGAAGAATTACAATCTAACAACCACCATACAAAACATTGCTCCAAACCACAAATAATATAAAAATTACATTGAAAAACTCTGAGGTTTTATCTCACATTTTTCAAAATTGTAAAGGTTACAAAAGATTGAAATGTTAGAGGAACTATAGGAATTCAGGCACACTGATGCATGGTTGATGGAGCTGTGATGTGGTCCAATCATTCTGGAAAATAGTTCAGAATTATACAAAAAGAAATCACTAAATTGTTCATAAACTTTTGACCTGTTAATACCACTGCTGGGTATATACCCCCAAAAGGTGGCTTCCTTTTCTAGCAACTGGCTTCACTTTCACCCATTTTTGACACCCCACTTTCTGGTAGAAGAAGTGGGGGTAGTTGGAATACTCTTTGCTCCCCATTGCCACTTCCAAATTCTCCCTCTTTGACCTTCATTCGACCTCTCCTCCTTGAGGTTCACTCAGTCCATATCTACCCCCCCAATAAAAATCCTGGGAGCTATTGTCTACTACCCTCACAATACTCCTTTTCTTACTTCAATTAACCCCATCTTTCTCACCTTCTCAATTCCTGCCCTAATACTAGGTGACTTCAACATATATACTGATATTCCATCAAACACCCTTACTTCCCAGTTCCTCAATTTGCTCATTTCCCATAATCTACTCCTCCACCCTACTTCAGCCACACCCAAAGATGATCAGACTCTTGATCTTGCCCATCACCCACAAATGCCCCACCTTCCATGTTCATGAATTCTGAAATTCCCCTATCTGCTCAAAATCTGTATTCATTCCACTTCTTCTGCCTTGTAACCCCAAACCCTGTTTTCCATCCACATTATGGCCTCCAATCTCTCAACTCCTCATTTCTTTTCCAGGCCATCACTTGCACTAATCATAGTCTCCTCCCTTCCCCATCTTGACCTCTTGGGAAACAAGTTCAACTCTGCACTATTCTCATCTCTCAAGTTCCTAGACCCCTTATCCTATTGGTGATCATGCCCTGCCAAGCCTCAGCCTGGGATGAATCCCACTGTGTGATGCCTTTGTTCCTACACATGTGCTGATGAATGAAGCTTGAGAAGATCATGAAACCATAATGACTGGATCCATTACAAATTTATGTTACATAACCTCAACTGACGCAAGTCCTTTGTGCGTGGCATTTTCCATCAGATTAAATAAAGTCTGCTCTACATTTTAGGACGTGTACGTGTGTGTGTGTGTGTGTGTGTACACACGCGCTTGTATGGGCATTAGGGACCCTCTTCCTTTTAGGGGGGAGACTCGACACAAGCCAGATTCTGATGTTCTGAGAACGAGGGCAAAAGTTCAGTCTATTCAACAAAAGCAACCCTTTTATACCTGCTCAATTAGTTCACCACTCCATTCACCATAGCAGCTCTTCTTCCAAACCTTTTCATCTCTCCTTAAATCTTTCCTGACTCCCCCTTATCCCATGTTCTCAGCAGATTGTCCTCTCTATCACCCCCACTCTTTTGACTATCTTCAATTTCTACTCATCCACTGGCTGCTTTCCTACTTCTTTACAAACCTATCATCATCTCCCTCATCCTTAAAAGCTCCGATAGATACATCCATCACTGCCAACCATTGTCCCACATCTCTCCTGCCTTTTGTGGTTAAACTCTTTGGGAAGACCTTCTGGAATAGGTGTCTCTACTTCTTTTCCTCCTCTTTTCTTCTTAAGTCTCTTCCATCTGACTTCAGGCTTCACCATCCAACTAAAATTGTTTTCTCCAAAGGTGTCAGTGATGTCTCAATTGCCAGGAATCTCTAATGGCCTTTTCTCAATCCTCATCCTTCTTGGCTCCTCTGCAGCCTTTGACATTGCCAATTGCTATTCTCCTTGGCACTTTCTTCTCTCTATGTTTTCAGGGAAAATTGCTCTCCTGCTCTCCTCCCACCTATCTGCTTGCTCCTTCTTAGTCTCTTTCGCTGGATCTTCATCCAAGCCATGCCCCCTCA